AGGGTTAGCTGCAGGGATGTGGGTGTTTTACATTTTTTTTTAGGGGGAGGTAACTTTATTTTACATTTATGGGCTCCCTTCCCCCTTTTTATGGTGATCTAATTGCATTGGTTAAAAGCAGCTAACCAGTTGTTCTTTAGAATATACCCTCTAGCCAAGTCTAACTTTATTTAGACGCTGTAGATGGACAAGCTTGATTGTGTGAACCAAAATGGGAACATTAAACAAACATCACAGCCCTCACTAATAACACTGTGACTTTGCTGTCAAATGTAGAATCCTCTCTTCAAGAAAAAAAGCTTGTGACCATTTTGTATGGCTTGTCTGCAAACGTGTGTAAATCTTATGTTTTAGTAAAATATTTTTTGTTATTCTAAAAAAAAAAAAGAAAAGAGGTGCTGAGTAACGGAAAGTGAAATGAAGCCTCCAACACGTGCTCCTTCAGAGGAGAAATCTATGGACTCCTGTTCTCCGCTGTCACTGTCCCGGTGCGTGAAGCTAGGGCGGCCTCCCCTCGCCTGGGCTCCACCGTGTAAACTGAGGGGCCTGGGTGAGATGATGGTCCAGATACCAGCCCGAGGGTGAACAAGGCGGAGCGAGAAGACCCATACCTGCCACCTACAGTCCATGAGGAAAACAGCAGGCCGGGAGTCAGCGGCCGAGGACTGGCTCCCCAGCTCGTACCACCCAGGGACACAGTGTGAAACCAACAGACCACAACTCCAGATAAAAACACTATCCTCCAACATGCACCTCTGGAGGAACTGCACCCTGGGAAACAGAAGGCACACAGCCCACTTACGGCCACAGTGGGCCGGAGAGGACGGTGTGCATGGTTTTCAAGGTCTCCAAAGGAACATGAAGAAGCCTGTCACGTGCCAACTGTCTTACCCCACGTGTCACCCCACTCTCTCTACATCACAGGTCACACGCATGTTAACCCCTCGCAACCCTGCGAGCTAAAACCCTAGGTTAACTCGCTTTTCCATGGCTGAGAAAATTCATACCAAAAGACAACAAGTAAGACAGCACAGTGTATGGTATGGCCGGCTCTGAGCCAGCCTGGGGCCCTTGACCTAGAGATGCTTCTCATGAACCCACAGTTCCAGCTTTTCTTGCATGAGGAAGGCAGGCCAACAAGCTGCTTCAAGAAAAAAACACTCGTGCTGAAAAATGTTAGCTTTCAGCTTCTCACACAAGACAAAGAATGCTGTACAGGCTGACCTCAGAGGTACCGTGGGTTCAATTCCAGACCACTGCAATACAGAGCATCATGTGAGTTGTGGGTTTCCAGTGCAGATAAACGTGTGTCTGCACCACACGGCAGCTGACTATGTGTACACCGGTTATCATGATAAAGTTCAAAATCACATGAGAATGACCCTAACAGGACACAGAGACATGATGTCAGCACCTGCTCCACCCAAGGTTACTGCAAACCTCCCATCAGTAAAAATGCAG